TCTCTCTCTCTCTCTCTCTCTCTCTCTCTCTCTCTCCCCCTCTCTTTTTCTATCTGTGTGTACGCATGTCTACCTGTCCGACAGCACGAAGTTGTCCCTCTTGCAGGTCAATTCTGGTCTCGCATGTCACGTTTGGCGTCGTGTTGCATCGGTGACTGTTGAACGTGTCGATAAAGCAGAGTGTTGTTTTCCACGCTTCAATAGGTATACTACTGCATGCCATGATTGTGTGTACCATTGGTGGTTGTTGTCCCATCGCCCCGCGGTAGCCAACCTCTCTGTCTGTCCGGTGTATGTATGCATCTCTGCGACAGGTTGACTACTGCGGGCCATGTAAGTGTACACCGCTGCTGGTTGTACTCGTTTTGGCCCTTAGTAGTCAACCTCTCGCAATCAACATTTTTTTTTTTTTTCCCAGCTGGGTGAGGTTGACTGTTGCGTGCGATGTTAGTGTTTGCCAACGCTGGTTGTTGTCCTGATGGCCCGCAGTAGCCAACGACCCTCTAACGCACTGTAGTTTAGCCTGTATGGGCGAGGTTGACTACGCCGGGCCATGTAAGTGTACACCGCTGCTGGTTGTTGTCGATCTGGCCCGCAGTAGCCAACCTCGCGCTGGTGCCACATTTTTTCATGATTTCTCATGTGGGTGAGGTTGACTACTATGTGCCATGTCAGTGTGTACCGAAGTTGCTTGTTGTGTCAATGGCCTGCAGTAGCCAACCGCCTTCTAAGGCCTCGTATGTCTGCCTGTATGGGCGAGGTTGACTACTGCGGGCCATGTAAGTGTACACCGCTGCTGGTTGTTGCCGATCTGGCCCGCAGTTGCCAACCTCGCGCTGGTGCCACATTTTTTTATGAGTGGCCAGGTGTGTGAGGTTGGGTACTGGGTGCCATGTCAGTCTATACCGAAGCTGGTTGTTGTGTCAATGGCCCGCAATAGCCAACCACCCTCTAACGCAGTGTATGTCTGCCTGTACGGGCGAGGTTGTCTACGGCGGGCCATGTAAGTGTACACCGCTGCTGGTTGTTGCCGATCTGGCCCGCAGTAGCCAACCTCGCGCTGGTGCCACATTTTTTTCTGATTTCCCAGGTGGGTGAGGTTGGCTACTGCGTGCCATGTCAATGTGTAGCGAAGCTGCTTTTTGTGTCAATAGCCCGCAGTAGCCAACCGCCCCTTAACTTAGTGTATGTCTGCCTGTATGGGCGAGGTTGACTACTGCGGGCCATGTAAGTGTACACCGTTGCTGGTTGTTGTCGATCTGGCCCGCAGTAGCCAACCTCGCGCTGGTGCCACATTGTTTTCTGATTTCCCACGTGGGTGAGGTTGGCTACTGCGTGCCATGTCAGTGTGTACCGAAGCTGCTTGTTGTGTCAATGGCCCGCAGTTGCTGTTAGCCCTCTAACGCAGTGTATGTTTGCCTGTATGGGCGAGGTTGACTACTGCGCGCCATGTACGTGTACATCGCTGCTGGTTGTACTCGTTCTGGCCCGCAGTAGCCAACCTCGCGCTGGTGCCACAATTTTTTTATTTTTTTTTCAGCTGGATGAGGTTAACTGCTGCGTGTCATGTCAGTGTGTACCGATGCTGCTTGTTGTCCCAACAACCCGCAGTAGCCAACCGCCGTTTTACGCAGTGTATGTTAGCTTGTATGGGCGAGGTTGACTACTGCGGGCCATGTACGTGTACACCGCTGCTGGTTGTACTCGTTCTGGCCCGCAGTAGCCAACCTCGCGCTGGTGCCACAATTTTTTTTTTTTTATTCCCAGCTGGGTGAGGTTGACTGCTGCGTGCCATGTCAATGTGTACCGATGCTGCTTGTTGTCCCAACGGCCCGCAGTAGCCAACCACCCTTTTACGCAGTGTATGTCTGCCTGAGAGAGAGAGAGGTTGACTACTGTGTGTCATGTAAGTGCACACCGCCGCTGGTTGTTCTCGTTCTGGCCCGCAGTAGTCAACCTCTCTCTCTCTCTCTNAGAGAGGTTGACTACTGTGTGTCATGTAAGTGCACACCGCCGCTGGTTGTTCTCGTTCTGGCCCGCAGTAGTCAACCTCTCTCTCTCTCTCTCTCTCTCTCTCTCTCTCTCTCTCTCTCTCTCTCTCTCTCTGGTGAGGGGGTCACGTCGCTGCCAAGGCTTCTCATTAATGTTTGTGATGTGTCATGCAATAGATGGGGCCTGCCATTCAATCGAATGTCAACGGCGTGGAGACATGCACGATGGAGACTCAGGACATGGTGAAGGGTATCGCAGGTGTCAGCAACGAAGGGATATCGGCCGGAGCAAACACCACGGACTGTGCAATGGCCCTTGCGGGAATTTGTGCGCAGGCTGCAGACTTGAGCACGGATGGCGACACGAGCGATGATGGTGCAAAGTGTCTTGTTCCATACAAGAATGTTGAGAGGACGAGAGCAGGAGGACACTTCCCGTATGACGTCAATTGGGTGCCTGGTCGTCTTCAACCGGGTACCGTTGGAGGAACGCCGTGCTTTGCGTTCAAAGTGAATGGGGAATGGGTTCCATATCCCGCCCCCACAGAGGCATCGTGGAGGTGCGTGACTCTGTCAATCATCTTCGACAGAGTGCTGAGGTTGAACGATGCGGCGACCCCTGATGAGAAATCATGGCATGTGTTGAAACTATGGCGTGCTCTGGACGCGAAGGGCGATTTGAGGCTGAATGATTTTGAGTACGACAGTGTCGACTGCGGAGAGTCATGGGTGATTGGCGGGTTGGACACTGCAGTGGCCTCGGTTTGTGCAGAGACTGATGCCAGGAGGGATCCACGGTGGGGTTGGGTGCCACATGACGCCCCCCTTCTTTGTGGCCGTGCGCCATGGGCAATGTATGGACCATGTGTTACATAAACGGCAGCTTCGTGTCCAGGCACCTGAACAGGGAGGTGACTGAAGAGGAAAAGATGACGATGGCTTGTCCCACCGCTGCTGCTCGTTGTTTTTCGCCGCCTCTTCGGAACCCTGTGGAGCTCGAGGTGGTAGAGGGGAAAGTGTTCGCGGGTGAGCAGGGGTACACATACACGCATGCCAGAGGGGAGGAAGCTACTGCTGATGGATTGTCCCCGCTGGTATGGAACCCGCCCAACCTGAAGCCTGACGTTCTGGCTGCCATGGACATTACGGCCCATGTCATCCCTGAGGGGCAGTTGCAGCACCATGTGGCCCCTCAGAAGTATGGATATCGTGTGAATTGGCTGTCAGGATGTCTGCATCCTGCAACAGTTGATGGCAAGGTGACCATGGCGGCCAAACTGCAGACAGGCCATTGGCTGCCCTTGGGTTGGATGCATGCAGGCATGGTGGAGCAGTGGCAGTTCCTGGTGGTACTGGCACGTGTGTCCATTTTCAATGCAGATGTGAAGGAGCACGTTCTAGTTGTGAAGCATGCAAAGCGGTGCTTGGAGAAGATAAGGGAGGAGGATCGTCAGATGATGTGCATGGGTTACGACTCCATGCCAGAGCAAGGGATGTGGTCCATGGTTGAGGGGAGTCCTGGTGGGCAAGGGCATGGCGATGGGGAGAACATGTACATGGCTCATATCCGCCGCAGGCATGGATGCTCTGCCCATGTTGGTTGGGTCCCGCCCATATGTCGCCTGACACACGAGCAAGGTGGAGATATGACGATTAGGTTCAAGGACCCGCTTGGTTTGCCGTTTCTGCTGACGTACTCAGATGGCCTCCTGCGAGACATTCGGTATATGGTGCACGAGGACACCCGATGTGGACTTCAGAGGCCGGGACAAACGGAGGAGACGCGCCTGGGGCATCAGGGTGGTTTGTCTGCTGAGGTGGAGGGCCCACGTGGCAGTGAGCGAGTTGCAGGGTGCTCTGCAGCGCAGGCTGACGTGGTCGGGCCCAGCAACACTGGGATGTCCCACAGCCCGAGGAAGGTGAAGGGGGTTGTGTCGAGGCCACAGAGGGGGAAGCCGGCTGGTGACAAGCGAAAGAAGAACCCCCAGCCTAAGCCAGCGACCGGTGGCAATGAAGATGCGCCTCGCCGGGTCCAGAGACGCCGCAGACACCCCGGGATGGCAGCTCTGACAGAGATCAGGAGGCTGCAGCGATCCACCGACCTTTGTATCCCTTTCAGGCCCTTCTTGCGCCTCGTCCGCGAGGTGATGGAGAAGGACATTTCCCCTGTTCAGGCCGTGAGGTTCCAGATGACGGCCGTGTGTGCTTTGATGGAGGTTGCGGAGGCTTCCCTGGTCGCCAACTTCGAGAACACAAACGAAGTGGCGATCCACTCGAAGAGGGTGACCATCCAGGTGAGGGATATGAGACTGGTGGATAGGTTGACGAAGCCTCGCTGGGTGGAGAAATATCAGGGGATATTGGACGAGAGGGCGAGGTCTGAGGACAGGCAGCGACGGATGGACGTCAAACAGGCTGAGAGGGAAGGCCGGGGAGCAGGCGCGAAGAAGAGAAAGGCACCGGCACCGAGTCGTAGGGGGGGTGGCGCAAGAAAGAAGGTTGCATGAGAGACAGTGTGTGTGTGCTTCCAGAACGCTTGTCTTGTCTTTGTCTGTCATGCTTACTCTTCGTGGTGTGAGGCGGGTTGATTAGGTGCA